CTCGACCTTTTCGCCAGCACGTGGCTCGCCCGCACCAAAGGAGCTGCCAAATGCAACGCATGGCAGCTGGCGCTCCTTTTAAATTACCTGTCGGGCGGGGACCACACCCAACAGCGACGTTCTCGATCAAATACGTCCGCTGACCCCAGCCCTATTTTGCCGTTACTGTGATGAGGAAGAGGAAACCCAGGAGCACACTGTGCGTGACTGCAAGTGCTGGGCCCGTGAAAGAGTCCCTCTCACCACCCTCATCAGTGACGAGCAGTGGGCCCGTCTTCCTCCGCACACAAGACTTTGCGGGCTCTTCGATGAGGACCCAGCCCTCCTCGATCTGCAAGCCGACCTCGCGAGGGACCCGCTACCTCAACCCATACCGCGGCCCCCGCCTGAGGGAGATCCTGCGGCTTCAGCCCAGGACTCCTACACCACTTACTTTGACCACGACACTGGTTGGACATGGGTCTACGCTGCCACGGACGGTGCATGCACCAACCAAGCCATCCCTTTGCTTGCAAGAGCGGGCTACGGCGTCTACTACGGCATCGACCACCGCATGAACTACATTGCGCGCGTTCACGGCATCACGCAGAACGCACAGCTTGCGGAGACCCTCGCCATTGTCCACCTCACGGCATGTGCTGAACGGCCCGTACACGTCTTCGTGGACAACCAGGCGGTGGTCGACGGCTTCCAAAGGATCATCGACGGACACTTACCTCCGCAGGGCACGCACGTGGAGTTCTGGGAAAAGGTCCACCGATGTGTCATGGCCAAGCCAAACATGTTCCGCGTAGAGAAAGTCGCTAGCCACCAGGGCGACACGGGCATCGACCTCGGGCTCATCGGGCCCATCGCGGAGGAGTTCAATCGGCAGGCTGACGCCCTCGCCACAGCGGCGGCACGTACTCATAACCTCCCAGACGACATCGTTGAAGCTGCCAAAGCACGACACCGCCAAGCGACCGTGCTCCATGGAGTCGCCGTTGCCATCTTCGAGCGGAGACATCGTACTCTTCCTCTCCCACACCGCAGGGCTGGGTTCACTGCTGCAGAACTAAACAAAATGGAACCAAATCCCCTGCTGTCTGACCAGGCTCCACCCGTGGCTGGACCAGACATCCCGCAAAACCCCGACGAGCTCTGGGCCGAGGCCCAACGGGGGTTATTCGACGAACAGGAGGACGACCCGTTCGGCTTTGGTGGAGGTTTGGACTTCCTGGGAGACGAGGCAGCCAGCGCCAACCCTGCCCCGGCGGGCACCCGCACGGCGCCCCCGACTCCGCCATTGAGTGCGTCAGCCCACCCTCATGACAACGCCGTTCCTTTTCAAGACGCTGATGAGCAGGACGATGACCTTTTCAGCCTCGGTGGGGGATCGGACGCTTTGGACGACGGACCAGCCAACGAAAACCCCGCCCCGTCGGGAAACCTCGCAAACCCTACTGCGACGCCGTCCCCAAGAGCGTTAACGCCCACATACGATGATATCGGTCACCGCCAGGACACCGACCACGACCCGAGCGCCCCCCGAGGATTGGGTGGCATTGAGGACGCACCGCCGACACCACACGCTGCCGACCATGCCGCCCCACCGAGTCACCAACCCTCTACGCGACCGACCTCAGCGGCCTTGCACGGCATTACGACTGGCCCCACCGCGCATACCACTCCGCCCCCCCATCGTCAGCGACCCGCGGGGGCGGCTTCAGCCCCCCCGCAGGGTACTAAACCAGACAGGCCCACGTGCCCCACCCACGCTTCCTCCGTTGCTGAGCGAGAGGAAGCGGCTCCCCTGACCTCTCGGGGCGCGGCCCTAGCGGCTCCAGCCCTGGGGTCGCGCCGGCCCCTCCAGTCACCTTTCAAGGGTGACGGACGTCAGCGTTCAGGGTCCCGCACGCCGCTTGCCCACCTGGACAGGCGCACCGAGGACCTCGCCTCTGTCTCGAGATCCTCGGCGGATGTCACTGAGCAGCCACCTCTCACCGACCGTGAAACCGAGCTGTCACAGGCTATGGCTGCCCTTCAGCAGATGTGCTTAGCTCTCGCCGCGGACCTCGCCGCTGCCCAAGCTCGTCAAGGTCCTCTACTCCAGCGCCTCCACAGCGCTGGGCGAGCCTTCGCCGAGCTGCTCACGGCCTCGCCCGATGGTGTCGTGCCGTCACTCAACATCCAAGCTATGTTGTCATCGTTCAGCGGCGCTTCACCTGGTGCCCCGCGCTAATCTCCTCTTTTCTGCCTGCCCGTGTGTACGTGTGGCTCCGCGTCCACGGTGTCAGGGCGTGGGGGCGGGGGGTGCCCCGTCACTGCGCGCCGCTTAGCGGCCAAGCGCCCAACTGGCGGTCCGCCAAGCCGCCTAGCCACGTGCCTGCACGTCGCCTTTCTTGTTGGGGCCTTTTACCTCACGCGGTCTGTCAGGTGAGATCTTCATCGTCTGTCCGCCGTCTGTAGCGTCAGTCGCACGGCGCCGGGGGAGGGGGTTTTTGTAGCCCGCCCTCGTATCTTAAGGCTGCACCGCCGCAAATAGTGCTTGCGAGTTGTCGCACCGCAGTGCGCCTCGCGGACGGACCCTGGTCCGCCTACTTGTCCGATCTCTCTCTTTCTCTCTTTCTCTCTTTCTCTCTCTCTCTCTCTCTCTCTCTCTCTCTCTCTCTCTCTCTCTCTCTCTCTCTCTCTCTCTCCTCTCTGCTCTCTTCGCTACTGGCTTCTGACGGAGTCTGAGTTAGGTGAGCCTGAGTGTGGGTGAGTCTGAGTATGGGTACGTCTGTGTATGCCTGACTCTGAAAAAATGAATCTGAGTGTGAGTGAGCTTGTGTATGAGTGAGTCTGGGTGCGAGTCTGAATCCCAATGGTGCCCCTGGCAGCGTCTGGCGACTAGGAGGCCCGGGTCGACTCCTCTTTGGGAAGCCAAAATGCTGCCCCTGGCAGCGTTTGGTGACTATGAAGCCCCTGGTGGACCCCCCCTGGGGCTCCCAAGTGATGCCCCTGACAGCGTTTTGTGACCATGAGGCTCTCAAGAGATACATGTTGGGGACGCCAAACGGCAATTCTAGCTGAGGCGTCCCACCAAAATCGGCGCGAACGGGCTCGTGAGATCAGCCAGGGTGGCTCCCCCTTGGGGCTCCCAAGTGATGCCCCTGGCAGCGTTTTGTGACCATGAGGCTCTCAAGAGATACATGTTGGGGGCGCCAAACGGCAATTCTAGCTGAGACGTCCCACCAAATTCGGCGCGAACGGGCTCGTGAGATCAGCCAGGGTGGCTCCCCCTTGGGGCTCCCAAATGATGCCCCTGGCAGCGTTTTGTGACCATGAGGCTCTCAAGAGATACATGTTGGGGAGGCCAAACGGAAATTCTAGCTGAGGCGTCCCACCAAAATCGGCGCGAACGGGCTCGTGAGATCAGCCAGGGTGGCTCCCCCTTGGGGCTCCCAAGTGATGCCCCTGGCAGCGTTTTGTGACCATGAGGCTCTCAAGAGATACATGTAGGGGGCGCCAAACGGCAATTCTAGCTGAGACGTCCCACCAAAATCGGCGCGAACGGGCTCGTGAGATCAGCCAGGGTGGCTCCCCCCTTGGGGCTCCCAAATGATGCCCCTGGCAGCGTTTTGTGATCATGAGAGAGTGTGAGTGTGAGCTTAACTTATCTTATCTTATCTTGAAATCTCTTCTTATCATATCATGTGCTATTCTTGTATTATCCTATCTTATATTGTAGTATCTTATCTGGTCTTATATCTTGTATTATCTTATCTTATATTGCAGTATCTTGTATTGTCTTATCTTATCTGGTAATTATCAGTGGGAGGAGGGAGGCGGGAGGCGGGAGGAAGAAGGAGGAGGAGGAGTGGGAGGCGTCAGAGTAATAACAAGAACCCCAATCCTTAGGATATGGGGAAAAAGGAAGCTGATGGCCCCGATCCATCCACATCATCATCATCATCATCATCATCATCATCATCATCATCATCCCCCATACCCCACCCCGCTTTCCTGACAGCACTCCCCTTCCCCATCATCATACCACCCCCCTCCCCAGCCATGTGGGAGATGTGAGGGTGACAAACAGGATGAGGATGGGGAGGGGTAATACGAGGAGGGAACGGGGTGATTGTATCAGGATTGTCCCGATGCGACGAAGATCATGAGGGGAAGGAGGAGGAGGAGGCGGAGGAGGAATATGTGAGGATGGGCGAAAGGACGCGCGACAGGCGGGAATCGAAGTGCTGTGGGTTGTGAGGGCGCATGTTGGTCTGTTATTGGCGCGGGGATCGTGATTTGTTAGGGTGAGTTTTTTGTGTATATTTTTTTTTTTTGTGTTACCATTGGGGGAGATGTAATTTGTTAGTTGGTAAACCTAGTGTTTGTTGATCGGTTTTGCTGATAGATGTTCTTGTCTGACTTTTTTAATCCTTTGTTTTTTTGGTTCTTGTGTTCTTCTTTAATTTTTTCGTTTTTTAAAGGACGCGCGACAGGCGGGAATCGAAGGTGCTGTGGGGTGCGCTGGGGGGGGGGAGTGGTGAAGATTTGTTTATAAATGTGCACATGCACATGTCTGTCTATGTTTCTCTACGGTGTACCACTCTCACTCTCTACTCGTGTTTGTGTTGTTTTTTCTTGATCGTTCTCTTTGCACATATATACATATATATAGATATGGGTGTGTGTATAAAAAAGGTATATGCATTCATTTACGCCGTCAACTCATTGTGCTACTCTCTTGGACTTTGCATCGCTCGGAACTCCGGAAATAGAACACACAACCCAGGAACGTGGCTGCCCACCGAAATCGTCCCAGGATTTGGAATTGGGAACCTGGGGGCCCGGAAACTGGGCTCCTGGGAATTCAGCCGTCTACGAAATGGGCGCCGTAGTTTCGCTTATTCGTTCACTCTTTATTAGGACCCCCTCAGTGCAAGTACTGATTAGGGAGTGTATATATATAGAGAGAGACAGAGGGAGAGAAAGAAAGTGAAGAAGAAAGAACGACATAATGAAAGAAAGGAAGAGAATGAAGAGTGTAACAAGCGCCCCTAGCTTGACAGTTCTTGGTCGGGCGGCCATGCCATGCTTATGCGAACTCAGTACGATCAATGCCCAGGTCCACAGAATGATGCTTTCGCCAGTGCTGGTGTCCGGTCTCTTCCGCTGAGAGGACCAAGAAGCAAATGGCCAACAGTCAGGTATTCCATGTATTTATGTTCGAGCATCGCTGGGTCGCTGGGCGACCGGAGTTTGGATGTGCCAGTAATTCTCAAATTGGGCTGTCTGCCTCTGTCGCAGCCTCCTCCGGCACCCCTAGAGGAGGTCGACACCCTGCCACTCGAGGGATTCAAGATGAAGGGATTCGCAAAGACTCTGGTCAAACACTGCGAGGGGAAGTTCAGCAAGCCCACCCCGATACAGGCTGTTTGCTGGCCGATAGCGATGCAGAGGACGCGGACGTGCCTCACTTTTCCACCTGGGGAACATCCCATCGATACCATTCTAACCTCCCGTCGCATCCCTCCCCTCTTCCCCTCTCATTCCTATCATCCCTTGCTCTCTTAGTGTTGTCATCCCGCCTCTCATGCCCCCACTTTGCCACTCGTTCTCTTTTCTCTCTCAGTCCTCCGTCCTGTCTTCCCTGTCCTCCGTCATGCCTTCCCTCCGTCCTGCATGCCTTACATCCACACTGATTTCTTTTCTTCGCCTTTCGTTGTGCGACATTGACATCGCAAAGACGGCCAACAGAGGACAGACTTGTGCGGCGTCGCAAAGACAGGCAGTGGCAAGACATTGGCTTTCGTTGTGCCGTACCTCTCCATGTCCAGGAGGGGTGTCCTAGAGGTCTACGAGCAGCCCTGTGCCACGCCACGGTTTGTGGCCATGGGCCCCACGCGGGAACTCGTGATGCAAATAGCGCAGGTTTGTAAGGATCTTTCCGCTGCCATGGCGGACGAAGTCAGTTTTCCAGTGCAGTGCATCTACGGAGGCGTCCCCAAGCGGGACCAGCGTCAGGCCTTGGAGCAGGAGGGCGTAGACTTGTTGGTCGCCACACCTGGGCGGCTCCAGGACCTTGTTGAGGAGTCCTCCATAGACCTCGGCTATGTGCAATATCTAGTCCTCGACGAGGCGGACAAGATGCTGGATCTGGGCTTCATCGACGTCGTGAAGTCGCTTATTAGCAAGATGCCTAAAGCCGGGGAGAGGCAGACTGTCATGTTCAGTGCGACGTGGCCTCCGAACGTGCATTGTTTGTCCGAACAGTTTTTGGACAAGCCCGTGCACGTGATAGTAGGCTCTGGCGATGAAGGCCTTGCCGCCAACAAGGCAATCCGCCAGGAGGTGGAAGTAGTTCAGCACGACAAGGAGAAGCAAACTAGATTGCTTCACCATTTGAAGAAGCACTATGCCCCCGACAAAAAAGTCATTATTCAGTTGTGCTGCCGCACATATCCGCAACTGTGCTTTCGGAAGCACCGTAGCAAAGTTGTGGCCTGGCATGGCCGTAGTGTTTCATAGTTGTTGCCATGCGTGCTTTTGGAGGTGCTCCTTGGGAGCTCCCTCGGAGGGTCCTCTCGGGCGCTCTGTGGCCATGTGGGAGTTCTGGGGCTGTCTTGGGCGTCTTTGGGCCATCTGGGGAGCTCTTGAGCTGGGTGGCGGCCTTGGGAGGGTCAGGAGGCGGCCCCGCGCCATGGGCCAGTCGGGGGGCGTCTCGGAGCAGTTTGGGGGCCGCCTCGGGGCTTGTCTTGGGACCTTGGGAGGTGGCCCAGCGTGCCTCGAGGCCGCCACGGGCCATGCGGCCTCTTACTCGGAAGACGTCGCATGAGCAGCCGCTTTTTCAGGCGGAGAGCACACGAGAACGCGGTCGAACTGGTGCCCAAAATCCGTAGCGTGGGCCTGGGCCCGGAAGAGGAGGATGCAGCCGCCGAGGCCAGCGGGCACTCGCGGGACCAGGGCCCCGCCCTCCCTCCCGCTGGTGCAGCGGGCGCGCGCCTCGGCCCCAGGCGGCGCCGTTGGCCAGGCTGCCCCGCCGTGCGGAGGTGGTGCTGGCAGGAAAACTTGGCCTTGGCCCGTCCTCTCGCAGGGAGGGGTGTACTCTACCGTTGGGGCCCGACGGGCCCGACGCACGTCTGCCGCTGCAGAGCGCAGGGGTGGCGGATCTTTGGATTGTACAAAAAGGAGTGCGCCTGGCTCGAGACCTTCCTTTACGAGAAGGGCTACACGAAGGTGGCCCAGCTCGGATCGAAGCATTGCGGAGGCGATTGTTTGGAGGGGGCAAGCTATGCTTTGGGACCGCTCTAGTCACCGATATCTTAAGTTTGAGGTTCTTGGTGTCGGTCTGACGCCTCCGCCTCGCACCTTTCTCATTCCTACCTCCTCCCTGTCCCCTCCCTTACCTTATTCCCACGCTCACTCAGACTCAGACCACTCATACTCAGACTCACTCATACGACAGACTCGCGCATACTCAGACTCACTCGCACTCGGACCATCCACACTTAGACTCGCTTGCACGCAGACTCACTCAGACTCCAGACTCACTCATACTCCAGCTAGCTCAAACTCAGTCACACTTATACGGGGACTATTCATGTGCAGACTCAACTACACTCAGGGTCACTCACGCTCAGACTCAATCATATTGAGACCCACCCATACTCAGACTCACTCACACCCAGATTCACCAATACTCTGATTCAGTTATACTCAGACTACGTCGCACCCACGAGGCATGACATCTGGGCCACCCAAGGGAGCTTCGATCAAATGTGTTCCCTGGCCCGTTCGCGCCCAGATTTTGGGGATGTCTCAGGCGAAACGCCCGTTGTGGGAAGTAGATGTGTGTCTTCCCAGAGCCCCATGATCGCCGCGGTGTTCCACGGGCCCGTTCGCGCCGAGATTGTGGGGATGTCTAAGCGCCAGCTTTAGGAAGTAGACGCGTGTCTTCTCAGATTCCCATGGTCGCCACGGTGTAGCAGGCATGGCATGGGGACCACCCACAGGAGTGTCGACCAGGGTATTCTGCGTACCCACTGTTCTCAGAGCCCCATGGTCGCCGCGATGTAGCAGACGTTGCGTTTTAGCCACCCAGCGGGATGTTGACCAGGGGTGTCCCACGGGCCCGTTCACGCCCAGATTGTGGGGATGTCTCCAACGAAACGCTTGTCTTCGCCCAGGATACGGGTCTGATCCCAGAGCCCCAGGGCCATCGCGATGTAGCATGCAATGCGTTCAGGCCACCCAATGGACAGACAGCAGGGGGTATGACACGGGCCGTCGCACCCAGACAGTGTGGGACTCGCCGTCGCTCAACTTGCAGGATGCCCTCACGCATGTCCAGACGTAGCAATACTCCGGCCCATTCATATGCTAGCCAACCATTACCCAGGCGTGCTTATATTCAGCCGTGCATGTTCAGTCTCCTCACACCCAGGCCCATTGACACCCAGATGCTCATACGCAGGATTGCCCAGACTCAGCCGTTCGTATTGGCACTCGCTCGCATTCAGAGTCAGTTCTTACACTGCGACTCTCATAATGTAACGCGTAACAGATGACGCACATATCGGGATCTCCGCGTCAAGCGAGTTCAGGTCCGAAACCAATAATGCTCGCTCCCCCAAAGTGTCGGTCCAAACATGTTCGGTCTCGGCCACAAGGTGGGTCAGTTATCAGGGGACTTGACCCAGGAGAAGCGCACGAAGACGATCGAGGAAGCCGACAGGGGGCAAACGCAGTGGAGGGGACAGGTGACGGAGAGGACAGGAAGGGAGGGAGGAAAGGAGAGTGGAGTGGCAGTGAGGGGAGCTCCGAGGATTTCAAAGCCACAAGGGTCACGCCATTGATCGCCACGGACGTGGCCAGCCGCGGTCTGGACATCAACGACGTCGAGCTGGTGTTAAACTACACCTTCCCGCTCACGATCGAGGACTACGTCCACAGGATCGGCAGGACTGGGCGCGCGGGCAAGAAGGGCCTGGCGGTCCGCGTGGTGGCCTAAGATGTGCTTGCCCCGTCCCCTCTCCCCTCCGCCGCCCCTCTCCCTCCCTCTTCTATGTGTACTCCGTATGAATATTTTTCCTCTGCCCCCAAATCGGCTGGGGAGCAGCCCGCCCCCTGCGCGTATGGTTCTCACGCATAGGATGTCCTTGGTTGATATTTCCTATTGTGTTTAATCGGGGCTTGTTCGTTATCTCGAAACGGTGTTGCCGTTGCAGCGTTGGCCTCATGTCAGGTTCGTTGTTTCGCCCCTGCCGTTCAGAAGGGCGCTCTCACCCCGGCACGATCCACTTTTCCGAATCCGACTTCTTCTTCTTCATCGGTGTCACACCCCTCTTTTTCTCCTCCTCTGTCCTCCCCTGGTCCTCCTGCTCATCCCGCTTCCACTCCAGTTCCCGCTGCTTTTGCTCGTCCTCGTGCCCCTCCTCCTTCCTCATCCTCCTTGCTCCTGCCCATCCTCCTTCTCATGCTCCACGTCCTCCTCCTCTCTGCTATGTACGCAGCTCCCCTTGTTCCGATTACGTATAACACGATGGTTTGTTGGTGGGAGTTTCAGGTTCGCTATGACACGCGTCCGCGGATAGAGACAGAAACAGCACAATAAGGAGGGAAAGGTGCACGAGTGGAAGGGGTAGTACGTCAGACCTGTCTCCGCCCCCTCCCTCCCTGCCTCGACTGCGCCCATGGCGGCGGCGTGCGCACGCGCGTGTCTGTCTGTATGTCTGTCCGTCTGTCTGTCATGTCTGTCTGTCTGTCTGTCTGCCTGCCTACCTGTCTGGCAGTCTGTCTGGCTGTCTGTCTGTCTGTCTGTCTGTCTGTCTGTCTGTCTGTCTGTCTGTGTGTGGGGGTGCGTTCGTGCGAGCGCCTTGTTTAGCCCGGCCCCTAGGTCTGCTTCTTCTGTCCAGACTCCAAGGGCGCGCAGGACGAAAAGGCCCATGCGGGGGACCTCGTCAAGATCATCAAGGACCTCTTCCTGCTCCTACTCCTTGTAGCCCAAGGGTGGGAGACACTGAGATCCTATCGTGGCTCCGTTGTTTCGGTGGGCGGGCAGGGTCGCGCAACATGCACAAGCAGTGTCACCAGGCTAAGCGGGGGGAGAGGCAAGGGAGGGGGGAGGGGGAGAGGAGGAGAAGACGAGGACGAGCATGAGGACGATATAGAGAAGCATAAAGATTACGGTGAACACAACGGTACGTCTGATGATGATCTGCGCGTGCACCTTCATGATGAGTAGCAGCCGTTGAGCGCCAGGTGTATCCTCTGTAGTTCTCTTTTGGGTTCAAGAAGTGTTTGCCCATCGGTTGATGGGGGTTCTGGAGGTTTTGGCAATCCGAGAGAACGTTCGCGAGGCCGCTCGATTCGCGGGGAATTGGTTTCTGCTCTCTCATCTGCAGCCGAGTCTGCAGTGCCCGCTGATCCCAGCCTGCCCACCGTGCCCCGACTGTGTGTGCAACATCTCTCTGTCGTACGTGGTGCCTCTCGGACCTGCGGAGAAGGTCGCAGGAGTGGCCAGCCAGGACTGTTCAGAGGGAGTTCGCTTGGACCTGCAATTTTTCATCTTCCTGATAGTGTTGCAGCTCTTCATCTCAGGGGGTTTGGGCTACGTGGTCGGACGCGTGCGAGGGCCGAATCAGACACAGCAGGCGGAGTTGGCTAAGGCCGCGAGGGCACAGCTGGACTTCCTTAGGAAGTGTTGGCACGTGCTGGAGATTTATGTTCTAATGAGATATGATATTCCAGGGGCTGAGTTGTGGCATGAATTCCTCGTTACGGCAGCGTCTACTTTCATCCTTGGCCTTTACGCGGTGTACACCGCGGGTGCGGATCACTACGACATCGAGTTGACGGCCTCCAACCAGGACCTGTTCGGAGTGAAGTGGATCGGTCAGCAGGGGTCCCACGCGCATGGAGTGCGAGCAGATTGTGTCAACCGTTTCCGTGCGGTGCCTGATCTGCAGGAACTCCAGCAGCTGTTCCGTGACGGAGCGCTTCTTGTCGGAACGCTACCTGTCGGCGCGGCAATGCCAGTGCCCGTCGCCAACCTGGCGCAGCGGCGGCGGGGCCCCAACGCCGTGGCAGCGGGAGTTGGCCGCGCGCCCGCTCCCGCGGTGCCCGCCGCGGCAGGGGGTGCCCTTTTCCGCCGCCGCGGCCGCGCCTGGAGCCGTCGCTGTAGCCCCCGCAGCGCCGCCCAGCAGCCTCTGGGTGGCGGCGGAGGAGGTCGGCGACTTCAGGACGGGTGACGAGATCCGCGAGTTGCCCGACGATGCTCTCATCAGCGGCCCGAGGGCCACCATCAACACTCCGCAGGTGCAGCTTTTCGTGCGCCAGGTCCTCCGCAGCGAGCTGGAGGCTTTCAAGAATGAGGACCTCAAAGGTGCTCCCCGTGCGGTTCGACTCAACGGGCATGAGACGGCGGGCCTTCGCAGACGCGGTGGAGATCATGACGGGTGACGAACCCGAAGGCGGCATCGGTCTCAACGGCCCGCGTGCGACGTCGTGGCTGCTCCAGTCGATGGGGGGCGAGGGCATGCCGCCGATCGTCAGGCATGAGCAGTGGCCTCGGACGGCTGGAGTCGCTGCAGGTGGTCGTTCATTGTATGAGCACGAGGTGCTCTGCAGAGTCATCGACAGCATGAGCACGGCTGATCAGTTGAATGCTCCGGCCTTGCAGGCCATGGAGATGATCGCGAGAGGGCTCCAGCTCATCGACGAGGCGCGTGGGATTTCTCCAGGGTCGCCAGACTACTCAGCCGCCGACCATTACATGGGCTGGAACTCGCGCCGCCACGGGGCCACGGTCGCACCCGCGCCGTCCGAGCACGCCGCCACGCGCATGAAGAACGAGACCACGGTCGCCAAGGAGCTCCGGAAGGCCCGAGAGGAGGCCAAGTTGGGGCGCGGAGGCGGTCGCGGAGGCGGCCGCGGCGTGGGCGACAAGGGCGGCGGCGGCGGCGGTCAGCAGGGGCAGAGGCGAGCCTGCCCCCCCGGCGCGGGAGATTCGGCCCAGCCCGCGCTGGCCTACATTCGGGCCTTCAGAAAAAGCCGCGCGCGGAGATGTCAGCCCGACTCGCGCGCGGGATCTCTCAGGGCGCCCCCCTGGTCGATCTGTGGGTTGCCGACGATTTTGACGTGGGCCAGTTTGGGGTGTCGCTTGTCGCGGTGAACGTCAGAGGGAGCTGTTTCCTCTTCCCGCTCTCGATCCACTCGAGCGGGCGCGGCCAGGTTCCTCGCGCCCAGTCAAGCGGCGTCGAGCGAGACGACGTGCAGAGGTGGAGACTGCCAATGAGGTCATCACTAGCATGAACGAGATGTTTCCCGGTCGTTTTTCGGCGGCGGCGCCGCCAACCTCTGCTCGGCGCGCTGCCCAGTCTGCGGTGCTTGGGCAGGTCAAACGCGCCGCCCCCTCTCCCGCTGCGCCCGCCGCGTCGGGGCCGATCGCGAGCTCCTGGATTCCTGCTTCTCGCATGCGCCAGGCGAGGAGGCTAGGTGCGCGGTTCGGCCCAATGCCCAGGGCTCGGCGTCTACGCCAGAGGTAGGTTCCCAGAGCTCTGATGTTCTCGATCTTCTCGACGATGTCAACGCTAACTTAGTCAAGGGTTTCGAGCAGAATTGATTTTGTGATCCTGATGAATACGATTGTCCGCCCCTGCACGGGTATCAAACGAACTAACAATCCCAAGCTCTACCACCAGTTCGCCCAGGACCTTTGGGGGCGAGGGGTGTCGGAGTTCACGGCGACCCCGAGGGATATCGTGACCCCCTTTTTCGTCACAAAGAAAAAAGGCAAACTTCGTCTGGCCCGGGGCTGTCGACTCGCAAATCTTCGGTTTCGGGGGCCGCCATCGAAGCAGATGGGGTCGTCTGCTGCCTGGTCTAGGTCGAGAATGCAGCCTGCGCCTGGTCACGGAGCCGCTCGTCAGGACAGCGCAGGTGGCGCGCTCCCGAATCGCATGTGCGTGGCCACCGGTGATGCCAAGGGTTATTTCCATTCGCTGGGCAATTTGCCAGCGTTGAGGGACTTTTTGTTGCCTGCCGCCCGTGCCCGAGCATCTCTCACGCGAGTGCGGCGCTTGTGACCGTGCTATTTTTTTTTGTTTTTTTTGGGGGGGGGTCTTGGGTCCGATCGAGCGCGGCCGCGTCAGACTGCGGCGCCGACGGAGTGGGCTCGGGCTTCTTGGATGGCCAAGGATATCTTCGAGCATCAGATTCGTAGGGCTCTCAACGTCGAACGTCCGATGTTTGTGCGCGACAGCGACCCCCCCCCCCCCCCTCATCTCCAACGAGCATGTCGCTTGCCCCCCCCCCCCCCCCCTGCCGCGACAACCTTGACGCGATCGGCGTCGACGCGGTTTTAGTCCAGGAGGCGAAGGAGGGAGTGCGCGAGCGTTTGAGGAAGGCGGAGTTCATGGAGCACCAGGAGGCGGACGCCGATACGATGGTGGAGAGTTTGGGGAGACGCATCGATGGGGGCCGCGGCGTCATTGAGCATCGCCCGGACAAGAGGGGAAAAAGGCTACGACAAACGTGTCCATGGTTTTCGAAGCGCCCGAGGGCGTCGGGGGAACAGGTTCAGAAGCTTCTGGGACACATCGTGGACTGCTTTCCTTTTCGAAGAGAGCTTCTCGGAGTGCTTCGGGCCATGTGCGATTTCGCCGCAGCTCTGGGGCCGAAGAAAGCCAGACTCTGGCCATCCGCCGCGCGAGAGGCGAGGTGGTGCGCAGCCCTGTCGGCGGTGTCTTCCGCTTTTCTGAAGAGACCCGCGCGCTCAACGGTCGCGGCCTCCGACGCCTGCAAGACGGGCATCGCAGTTTGCACTGCCGAGTGGAAGCCCGAGGACGTCGAGACTTCCTACGGGGTTCGCGACAATTGGAAATATCAAAGGGAACCTGATCCACGGGGAGAACCTGAAGACAATCTTGAATTTCCAGAATTGCCTCGTCACTTATTGAATAAGGAGTCTTGGGAACATATAACATGCTAGCCGCAAAAATGTGTTACATTTTTTTGCGGCTAGAATGTGGTGCCCAGAGGACATTGGGGTTCTTGAGGCTCGAGGAGTCGTCACTTCCGCCAGGTGCAAGCTCATGGCCGTCCGGAACCAGGGGGGCAATCTGAGTGCGACGTTGGCCTTAGCAAAGGACCGCATCACGAATCTTGGGACCCTGGTATGCTGTCGGAAGCTCGCGTGTCTGGCAGTGGCGAGTGACTCCAGCTTCTGGCACCGCTGGGTTCCTTCCGAGTTCTACACAGCCGGTGTGGGCTCTAGACTGTGGGAACCGAATCCACGTCTCTTCCATGACCTCTACGCCGACGAATGCCTCGATCGTCGACCTCGTCAGGTCTCAAGGCTAAAAAGCGACCGGCAGCGGCCGCGACGGCATCGCTGATTGGAGTGGTGGGAGCTTCGGACCAGACGCCAGCAGAGAGGGTCGAGGCACGCCTTCGTCGCAGGACAGATTATGTGACCACCAACCCGGAGGCGCTGCAGCAGGGAGCCAGCCTCCTAGAGGCGAACTCTCTGAACCAGGCGACGGTGCAGGATTGCGCGCGCAGGTGCCAGGACATCGTGAGATTCGCAGAGGTAAAGGGCCTGAAGTTCGACGCGGCCCACCGCGCCGACGCACTGCCCACTGCCTGCGTCGGCGCAGGGTGCGACGGGGGCGTGGGCCGCAGCGAGGCGCAGAAGGCCTTCGCCAGCTTCCGTTTTGTTTTGTTTTTTTCTTTCGGCGCCGAGTTTTCCAGCGGCCAGGCAACGCTACCCCGACCCCTACCTGCGTTGCGGGGCTGGACAAAGCTCGAGCCTGGAGTCGCCCTGTCGCCGATCTCCTGGAGCCTGGCGGCGGCGATGGCCTTGCGGGTGCTGCGCGAAAGTGGACTAGGCGCCGCGCCGCGGAAAGTTCCCGCGTTCTTCGGGCCCCGCAGGCCCCGCGAGGCAGGCAGGGGGCGACCTGGCGGTGCTAGGGGGGCCCTCGCCCCACTGCGCCCTGAACCTCCGCCCGTCCGAGCGCCAGGAGACCTCGAAGGTGGGGCTCATGGGCGAGCCCATCCCCCTCGACAGCCCAGGCGCGATGCGGCTTGGCCAGGCCCTAAGTTGTCTCAAGACGGGCGATCCAACCGCGCCGCTCCTGAAGGTCTCCGCGCACGGCGGCGCGGTTGTTCAAGAAGGCCCAGGTCGACATGAAGCTGCGGGGCCGCCTCTGCGCGATGCGCCAGTTGCGCCGTGGGGGGCCGAGCCGCGACAGGCTCCGCAATTACAGGGCCTCGCTCGACGTCGCGCGCAGAAGCAGGTTGCCCCCTTCAGTCCAAAATCGTCCGCCGTTGCGAGGCCCGCGCCAAGTTGAAGCAGGAGGAGAATCGCATGACCACTGAGCAGCAGCGGGGGCGCAGCTTCGCGATCAAGACGCTGTGCGACGAGGTCCAGAGCTCTCTAGACCAGCGTCGCCTTCGCACGACGTCCATGGGGTTCGCGCGATCGAGCTCTTCGGCGGCGCCGCCGCGCTCAGCAGGTCTCTCAGCAACGCAGGTCTCGTCGGAGAGCTGGGACATCAAGAGCGGGGCCGACAACGATCTCGCGGGCCCCGCGATTGTCCGGAAGCTTGAGGCGCGCCTGGGGTGCGCGCCAGCCAATCATCGCCACGCTGTGGGTGGGTCTATTGTGTCAGTCTTGGTCAAGAGCACGTAAGCACGACGGCCTGGGCCCCCCGCCAGTGCGCGATGATGATCATTATGTCATGGGTTTGCCTAACCTTTCAAAGCCAGACCAGGTGCAGGTCGAGTTCGGCAACTTGCTATGCTTACACCCTATACAGTTAATGACGGCAGCACTGGAACAGAAGTCGGTTGTGATGTCGGAGAACCCCAGGTCCAGCAGGGTTTGGTTGGTCCCACAGCTTTGTGATTTACAAAATCGCTTTCAAGGTGAGATGGTGCGTGCTGATTTCTGCCAATATGGCAAGCCCTGGAAGAAGGCCGCCGCTCTTATGGTTCTCAACCTCCCCGGGACGCAAGACCGCTTTGAAAACGGGTACTTCTACGGGCTGTAGGTGTTCGTGCACGGGAAGACCTCACGTTGAATTTAAATGTAAATATCCCCCAAGGCGTATTTTGGACGGTCCGTGCTGAACCTTATCCGAAGCAGCTATGCGACGTTTTCGCCCAGGCCATCCTCGACAACATCCGTCAACAGTTTTGAGATCACCTGGTTCCCAAAGCGCGCGGTTATGGGTTCGGTGGTTTCCATTGTTTGAGTTTGCCTCGCTCGGCGCGGCGCCCCGCCGCCGCTGCGACCGCCCTCGGCAACAACGATATCCAGATGATGGGGCAGGACGCCTTGTCTCCGCAGAATCAGATGGGAGGGTTTTCTTTTGGATCCGTCCAGCCCACCCCGTCCGCCGATTTCTCGGCCTGCAAGCCTTCTTTCAATATGCATTCTGCTAGATACGGATTTCCATCGTTTGAATTTTTCTCGTTCGACGCGGCGCCCCGCCGCCGCTGCCACCGCCCTCGGCAACAACGATATCCAGGTGATGGGGCAGGGCGCCTTGTCTCCGCAGAAATCAGATGGGAGGTGGCTTTGGCGCGGGTAGACAGCGAGACGATCATGAGGATGATGCTGTTAATGATGATGGTGTTAATCATGATCATGACGATGCTGATGTTGATGGTGATGATGGTCATTATTATGTTCGTGGCTAAAATGACTGGCGGGTACTCTTGTTTGATGACGATGATGATGTTGCTGATGTTGCATGATGGATGGCGATGGTGCCGATGTTGATGTTGCTGATAACGATGACAATGGGTGGCAGGACTAGACTGGCCTCAGTGAGGAGGGAAAAGTTAAGGGAGCGTGATCGGTGGATAAGGATGGCCCTCACGCGGCATCTTTCGAGCCTGTTGCCATACACACTCGCCCTGGGTAGAAATGCATAGCGATACCAGTGGCGACTATCCTTGGAGCAGTGCGAAGCCTGGCCCGATTAGGGCCTTAGTTGGTTTGTTCTCCTCCCCCGTGGCGAGTGAAGAATCCACTGGCCGCGGGCACCAGGGCAAGCAAGAGACGGACCCCCGGGTCAGTTCCAGCAAGTGGGCCTGGCTGCGCCCTCTGGGATCTGGCGGCCTCGTCCATCCGAAGGATCATGCGGCCGCCCCCCTGAGAGAGCACGTGCCCTCTGGAAAGGACGCCGGTCAGCAGCCTCCAGATGACCTGTTGAAGTTGAGCGCCACGTCGGGGGGCAACAAAGCGACGAAGAAGAAAGCCCACCCGCTCTTCGGTGCTCATTTCAAGACACCAGAACAGATGGCAGCTTTGGAGGCCAAGAAGGTGCACAAGAGTTTCGCGGACTCCGACGACGAGTAAGACGTATGGCCGGCCCGCAATCTTGCGCTCCCCCTGCCCTGCCCTCCTCTCCTTCTTGGCCCCGCCTCTCATCCTTTCGCCCCCGTCTGCTTCTCTTGCAGCTGCTGGAAGCGGTGCTGGCCCCCTGAATGCTCACGGGGAGGCACCTCAGAAGGCCGCATATGTCTGTAATCGATCTGCGTCCGAGGAAGAGGAGGAGGAGGAGGAGGAGGAGGAGGAGGAGGAGGAGGAGGAGGAGGAGGAGGAGGAGGAGGAGGAGGAGGAGGAGGAGAACGTGGGAGGAGGAGAAGGAGGAGGCCGCATGCGGGTTGGAGGAAAAGAAGGAGGAAACTGCCGATGATGCGCTATGCGGCGTCCCTGGGGCAAGCGGGAGGAGTACCCCCCCCCCGCGGTCGGAGTTTTCGCAAGCAGAGGGAGTAGGAGAGAGTAGGGGAAAAGGCGAACCAGGAAATCGGAGGGGCGTGTCATGAAATTCTGAAACGAGACGGGGAATTCAGAAAATGAAGCAGGACAATTCCAGGTTCGTTAAAGTTATGGATTGTTTCGCCCATTTCCGATTTCCTCGGCTCGTTTTCTAAATCTCCCAGTTCGTTTTCCGCATTCTTAACGGCTCGCGCTTCCCGACTTGCCCCTCCAGACACGAGGCCCAGCGGAGTCGCCCTGAACGAGGGAGCGCGGCATCATTTGGAGATCTCGGGATGCGTGGGTCTCTTAGGGTGTCTCTTGAAAGCGTCTTGGGGGCCTGTTGCAGGCTCCTGGGGGGCCTCTTGGAGCGTCTTGGGTGCTTGGGAGGCCCCTTGGGGCATCTTGGGGCCCGCTTAGGAGCCTCGTGGGGCCTCTTGGAGTCCTGTTGGGGTCCTCTCGGGGCCCTCTTGGTGCTTTCTGGGGCTCAGTTTGGTGGTTTTCGGGCAGTCTTGGGCCATCTTACAGCAGCGAGTAAAATGATGCGGCGCCGAATAGACATGCCCCCCCCAAAAGGAATTCGCACCCAAAGCTTGAGGGAAATCTGCACCCATCAGAAAACCTGAATAAGAATCATCACACTACATGGACTCCAGATGTCGCTGAAGAAATCCGAGATTCTGCATGAGATCGTGGGCGTCTTCTTGGAGCCTCTTTTCTTCGTGCAATGTTCGCACATGTGGACCTCGGCGACTGGCTAAGATAATGCCTTGTGTGAGGTCATTGTCTTGGGGAAGGGGTGAGGGGGAGGCGTCGAAGGGGGATGGAGCTCTAACCTACCCCAGCCCAGAGGGCTGGTAGGATTTCCTGGCTCGCCCCTCGCCCGATCCCTGAGCCGAACAGCGGCGCCCGCGGGGCCAGCCGTGGCGGGCGCGGCCGCGCGCCGTCGCTCCGCTCCGCGCGCGCGCGTAAGCCTGACCGGCATCTTCCCTCCGCGCATCTGGCGGACGGAAGCTGCAAAGAGTGGAGCCCTTCCGCTGGGGAGGGCGCTGCCGCCGTCCGCCGCCGCCACCGCCGTGCCGTGGCCGTCACCGCCGTCGGCCGCCGCCGCCAGAGGGAGCCTTCCGCCGGCACGAGTGGTCATGACGGAAAGGGGTCCTTCACTTCAGCCATGGCGTGTAGGGCACATGCGCTGAGTAGGAAACCAAAGCCACGCGTGGCATTTGTCCGCCGCTCTACGGTTGATGGAAGATGCCCTTGTGCCCCCTTCTCCTCCTAGGCCCCTCAGTCCCCGGCGCTCCTCCCTCTTACCCCCGGTCCGGGATCTTCTCGCGGGGGGCCTTGAAGCCGATTTTGCGCGAAATCCTAAGTTTGGGGTTTGATTCCGTTTCTTGGCCGCTGCTGGTCGGCTCCTGTTTGAGGTGTCAGTGGGCGCAACGGGAGGTGTTACTTCCTCACAGTGACTTGGATGTCCAGGGTCATTAATCCAAATTCATAGGGCAGTGCGGTAGCTAGGTCAACATGGCGTCTTGTTCTTCTTATCGTGCCCTTCCTTTCGTTTCTCAAATTCGTGCTGTCACAGCCTAGGTAGCCTCAGCAGGCATCCGTCAAGGCATCTGCGCTTCTGGGGCCAGCGGAGGCGACCGCCACATGCCTCCGAGGTCGGGATCGTAGGGCATGGTCAACCAAACGCGTTTCGGGGTCATTCCTCGTGCTTCGGGAATATGTTTTCTTCGTGTGTATCCTTATCGACGACCTGTGCTTGGCATGACCAGCTTGCCCAACTAAGTGCCCACGAGTTGATTCACGGCTCGTCCGTGCTCATTTGTGCACGATGTGAGCGTGTGTGGCGTTGTGTCGGTTCTTTTTCTGGAGCAGTTCATACTAGTACAAGTTTGATTGCGGTTTCGCTGGTGTATGTGATATCTGTTCTCGAGCTCATTTGGCAATGTATTAGCAGAATGATGAGCACGTTTCTTTTCGCTGGTGGCGATCGATTCGCGACTGGCTGATTATTGAAGGCCGCATGGATTCTGGCGCGCGCAAGGCATATTTATGATGCGTGATGCAGTGTATGTTGTGTCTATGTCGTTGTCGGGAGGAATGGGTAGCCAGATTCAGAGTACACTGGTCGTGCCAGTATGAGTTCCTCAGGAGATATGAATTGCGCTAGGGTGTTGACCCCTGGCTTCCGAAGCAGGACCAGAGGGACATGCACCTCACCACAGCGATGGAGTGGCTGCAGTCTGCGGTATCCCAGCATAAGACGCCTTTCAGGCGCCTGGTGCTGCTGAAACCGAGAATATAAGACCGGTTTCGCACGAGTTGTCGTCGACTCTCGAGGGTCAGTTTTTCGCTGCGGCGTAGTAAGTTCGACCTCTAGATTTGTGTGGCGCATGGTTTCTACATTAGTTACATGCCGTTTCAAAATGCCCGCAGATGGAAACGAATTGGAAGCGACAGGCTTTGTTGGAAGGCTTCCTGGACGGCTCGCCAGGGTGGCGAGATCAAGGCTGAAGCAAGTCAAAGGAGTGTCTGGAGCGTGTCCGAGTATCTATAGAGGTGTGCTGCGCCCGTTTCCTGGTGGAGTCGGATTCGGTTGTTTCGCTGAAATCTTTTGGACCCACGTCGCAGTTCAGGCATGCGTGGCGCTTGCGGGCTACGGGCAAGGGGCGGCCTCCCTTCGTCACGACGAACGAGATCGTCGGAGGTTGTCGATGTAGGCTTCTGGGCAGGCTTTTCACCGCCCAAGGTGGCGAACGCCTGAGACCCCTCCCCCCTGAGAGTGCGGCGTGACGTGAACGCTTCAGTTTTGCATCAAAGCGTTTCGTGCCTCTAGATGGTGCTCGTGACCACCGAGCGGCAGGGGAAGGGAGGCAGCGGGCGAGATTGCGCGGTGCCTACCAGCTAGACGGAAGAGGTGGCACTTGTAGGTCCCAGGTGGTTCCCCACCCGACAGGTTGGGGTTGCCATATTTTAAGGGCAGAGCTCCCGTCTGCCCACCTTTCATACCGCGGTCGCCAGACCCCACAGGATCCCAGAAATCTCTGAGTATTCCGCTTCGCGTCTTCGACGAATGACGACACCATACCGTGGTCGTCAGACCCCACAGGATCCCAGGATTCTTTGAGTGTCCCGCCTCGTGTCTTCGCCGAATGACGACAGATTGCATACCAGACAGCACCAAGCTGGGTGCGTCACGGCGTCTCGCCGTCCAGGAGTCACGTCGCATGAGAAGCGAGGCATGGCCAGTCGGCATCAAGCACGCACAAAAATCATGGACGCATACACCACAGCAAGTCAACTACGACATAAAGTATCATACCAAGCTATGACATAACGCACCTTAATGTAATTGGCAAACTAGAACACAGCACAGTACCTTATACCAGAAAGTCATAACTTAACACGTCATCCCTAAGCATACCGTAACACACCACCACCGTATACACAATAACCTAGTATCGCACACCGTTCTATGACAGAGTGGACCATAGCAGAGCGTGATATACCGGGATATTCCAGACAATGTCATTGCCAATTCCCCGAGCCACGACAGCAGCGAATCGTATGCGGTACGAATATATAACACACTTGCGTATGGTCATCTTAGAACGCAGCATGGCATGACTGTTTGAATGTATCACGCCACCGTATACCATAACATCGCATATCGTAGCCGAGCATCCAACGACATAGCATCGCACAACATAGCAGAGCCTCTCATACCATGTCATAGCATCGCATGAGACCTCATCATATGACAGACTGGAGACATGGCAGCGTATACCATAATTCAACAACATATCACGCATCATGTTTTGTCTACTGCTGCTCCCACTGCGAGACCTCACGTGCTATAACACATTGACTGTACCATACTAGAGCAGGGGCTTCGTGCGATGACCCTGACCATCACACTGTTTTGGAGATCGCATAGCAAACCACATCATGCCATACCACTGCAAACCATACCATAGTATACCATGGTAGAGCAGAGCACAGCAGCAGGCGGAATCACATATCATACCACATCCGACTATAGCAAACCATCGTGTGGCAGAGCAGGGCATGCCATTGTATACATCTCAGAACTTACCAGATTCGTTGTATTGTTTGCTGCCACTACGGTAACGGTTAGAGCATATCTAATTGTGGGCTGACATATTTGAGGAAGGCGTCCCAACATAACAGGGCATTTCACAATAACTTGCAACCGACCAGATTCGCATGCAATAAAGGCCGAACATAACAGAGAATACATGGCAGGTACTATAAAATGTGTGACCACCGACGGGGAATTACATAGCTGGCCCCGCGTGCCGCGGACGACCGATTAGGATGCAGGAGTGCCTTGATGCGGATTCGCGAGTCTTCGTGGGCTCTCTGGGGTTGCCGGCCAGCGAAGCAAGAGCGACAGCGTTGGATAAGAATTCCCAGGGCCACATTGCGTCACAGCGAGAAGGAATACAATGCAGCATCGCGTTGTCATCGGCATGACAACGACGATCACGAAGATGGCGCTGACAATCTCAAGTGACCCGTGCGGAGTGATCGCGTTGTGAGCGGGTCCAAGTCGGAGTAACTCCACGGCGATTGTCTATGGGACTGAGTAGTTATCGCATCGTTGTAAATTATAGTATCATACCGCTACGGGGTACGAGCCCATCGGATGCGGACCGCTCCCCGGCAACAAATCGGTCGCTAAGACTCTACGGGGGGGGGGGCGGAGGTGTCCAAAGTTTGACGTCGTATGGTCAAAGTTATAGTACCCCACGTGTCTGATATTATGAAGTACAGGGTACGTGCTAGAACAATCGAGGATATTTTCTCTGGCAGGCAACCTCCTATAATATAGCACATGGTACCAAACGACGAATTAGAACCGCAGACCGCAACATACATGCACTGTATTTCGATGTCCTGACAGTGCGCATAAGAGTGTAAAGCTGGAGCGCAATCTCCTTCTGCAAGTCCAGTAGTGGAATAACAGAGGAGCGAATCGTAGTGCAAACCTGAGCGCAACACCAGAATCTGAATACAACCGAGTGTAGTGTTCCATGTGGAAGAGGTGATGAACCATGTCGCACGCAAACGAACAAAACAGACCAGAGCACGCCGTTACCAAGTACATCACATACCGTGATCGAGTGGTTGATTCGTGTATTTGAGAAAGAAGGTGTGCGTAGCATAACCCGGCAGGCCAGAATGCAAAACGATCTAACAGAAGAGCGTCGGGAACCATAACCTGACACATTCGATTCGACGTTTCCGTGGGGGGCAACAAAAACTAACCATCAACGACCGATTCACGGCGTGCTATCAAAGGCGACTTGCGCGCCGAGGTCAGGTTGGCCACAGGAACAAAGAGGCGCCGCAGTAACGCATATTTGGCGACAAACGTGGTATGGGGTCACGGTTCGCCATTGAGACCAGCGGCTGCAGCAGGCCTCTTCTTCATCTCGGTCGAGTTGTTATCAAGCCACTCGCTCGCCCTCTTATGCGTCCTTGTTTTGTCGATCTTCGACTTGGCGAATTCCTCCGCCACCTGAATGACGAACCTTCTCGCCGCCTCGGGATCGCAGGCGGTCGTCTTGAGCTCAAGGCGCTGCGACGTCACTCTTCCCTCCTTCACCCAGGCGATCCATGAGAGGAGATCACTTCGCATGCAACGCCTCACCTCGAACTCCTTGTCGGACACCGTCTGGGACCACTCGGCCTCGACCAGCATGCGCTTGCCCCCGCTCTCCGTGACGCCGCCCGCCGCGCCGCCCCTCGCCGCGCCGCTCGCCGTGCCACCAACCAGAGCGTTGTACTGATCCACGTCGTCTTGTCCCTCCACAAGGCTTCCGTGCGCTTGAGGCGATGCTCGAACTGCGCACGGTCGGCAACAGCCGCGTCTACTCTGCGGGCGAACTCCATCTGGTCGTCGCCGTCGGAGGGCAGCTTGCGCCAAGCCTTCTCGGGACATTACATGGCGGGAGCTGCAAAGCGCGCCAACTCACATTCAGGCAACAGTACAAAGAATTCCCACGAAACACAAGTCCACACCGTATGAGACACGTGCCTAATTGTGGAGTTTGCGCGCCCTACATCTCCAGCCACGTTTTGTACCCTGACCTTCATCTCGTCGCTCCACCCGAAGATGTAGCCCGTGCCCTTGGAGATTGCGGCCTTGGCCTTGACCTTGCCGGCTGGCTTCTTGGCGATGGTGCTCTCGTCCGGCTCGGCCTCGTCCTCCGCTTTCTCCTCTTCCTCATCT